TAACACAGAATTTGTTGTTGTTTTGTTCATGGGTTTCAAACAATTTCTGTAATAAAACTTCTAAAAGCAGAAATCTTATCAGATGGGGGTCCATGGTGTAATTTGTGTCAGTTTAGGGTCCTTGATGTGAAAAAGTTTGAGAACCAGTGAGTTATACCACTAAAGAGGAGGTCGGGGGGACAGCAGGACAAACACAGCGCATGATTTTGACATGAGGGGTGAAAGGCTCACACGAACTGTTTTTGGAAAAGGCATAAAGGTTGTACTGACACCGAACTATATTCCCTTTTCAAGTATAAGAATGTCTCTTTGACATTCCTTGAACATAGAGTTATTTACAGGATAACATGTTGTTTTTTTGATGGAAAATGCGTAGATTTCATCCAGAGCACAAGGAAACGTAGCTCTTCGTGGCATGGTGAAGACGTAATGCTGAACATCCTGAACAGGAAGGAGGAAGACTATGCACGAGCGTGACTACAATTTACAATAGTGTTTGAGAAAATGAAATACAGATAACACGGGGCAGACAACTCAACAGTCTGCTGCATGTTGTATTGACAGCTGTACTTGTCAGTTGCTGTCAAATCCACCTCTTTGCTTCTTTTTAAATGCTAGTCTTGAACGGGTGCTGAGCAGATTTTTAAAACTTACATTGAATTAACTGGTTTCTAGACCAGTAAATATCTCTTTGACAAATCACATCCCAAACTGTTTTCAGATATCTCGCTAACTATCTAACACATCCTGCTATCACTGAGTTTTTGTATTTGTTTTTTTTTTTTTTTGCATTTTCCCGGATTCACTCAAGTCTGTCCTTTATTTAGTAAATTGCCTGCACTTAGAGTTCGAAAGGCAGATATCTCCACCAAACGCATCACATCAATATGCTTACTGGAGCTTCGATGCATTTGCTGTCCTGAATTTCAAAGAACGAAAAAAGCAGCAACGAGAAAAGGCAAATTACTGCCTCAATTTTTCAGAAACACGATACGTGAGAAATTGAGGAATATGATCACGAATCACGAATGGCCCACGAAGAATGAACAGCAGGAGATGTGCTGATTCACTCAGAGACAAGTGGAGTGGACATGAAGCCTATTGAAGGATGACACTTTGGCTGCTGGAGTGACTGAACCTGAAAGACTCCCTGATGCCTACTAATCTGCCTGGTCACTCACCATCATCTGCATCATCAATGAAAAAATTGAACACAAAAATAAAACACAAAGTAAGAGTGAAGCGGTCAGAAGGTCAGTGGCCTTTTGAGGCCAGCTGGCTGCAGATTTGTTAGAGAGTTATTTTCTCTACGTAATGTAGCTCCTGGCATTAAAGACGAGTTTACTGTTGTCAACGAAGCTTAACTGATCCACTGCAATGTAAGTTGCACTTGCATGAGATAAACTAGCATCAGTTGTTTAATTCATGCTAGAGGTCTTCACGGGTCCACAGACCACCTAGGACTTCAGATCCACATTCCCTACAGTCCACGTCTCCTACAGTCAAACAGGTCTGGGTCGTGTTCTGTTCTATTGCCGCAGCTCCTGGGTCTGTTTAACATTATGAGTAATACCAGTACTGATCATGGCTGTATTTTCTTGGCGAGGAGGATGGATCATACCCATCATAGCCAAGTGCAGGAGAAAAGGCTACTAACTTTATTAGTTTTGTTTTGGCAATCTGCAAATTCCTCAGTTCTGCACGGGTCCAGGACCAGCTTTCAAATAACAGATGAGTCCGGTTCGGGTTTGAGTCTGGCATTGCTCGGTTCTAAATGGATCCGGTTCACAACGTTCAAGTTCAAGACGTTCAAGATTGGTCTGGTTTGGTTCGACATTTCCAGGTCTTTTTGGGTTCAGACACAAATTTTTGGACCCTTGAGGACCTTTAATTCATGTTGAACCATCACTGGTTGATACATCATCTGTTTGGCTACCAGCTGACTGGTAACATCTAATCATATTCATGGACCGTAGCTTCCTACTAATGTGCAAATCTATTTTTACTATTAACCTCACTAATTTTTAATCCTCAAGAATGTTTTTTAGCCGTGTTGCTCCTCAGATTCTTTGAGATCTCCCTCCAACAGAAAATTGTCCACAAAAATATCAAAACTGTGGCCTCAGTAATTCAACGTGGGATGACATTTTTTTATTTGACCTATCATATGAAATGTTATCCTTTTTCCTCCAGAATGTGACAAAGTGAAACATGGAGTTCAGATTCATGCTGTACAGCTGGTGGATGGTCGCTCTAGCTGCTGAGAGGGGTTACACTTTCAGTTACAGGACGCTCTCTTTAAAATCTTTCTGAGCCAGTATCTGCACTCCTGCGGGAAGGTGTCCATCTTTGTTTCACTACTTGAACTGAAATCTCCCATCGTTATTTTATATGTTGTGAGTTTGATGACCTTCAGATTGTTTAAACCTACTTCGTACTTTCCAAAACACATCCATAAATAAACAACAAGCCAATATTTGAAAAGACAAAGTGCACTATTTTTCTTCCATATGTACTAATATGTAATTTTATTTGAGTTTCTCTGAGTGTGTAACCCACTGCAAAGTTTCCTCAATAATTCAATAATGGAAAAAAGTGGTGCCAGCCAGTCAGCGATGCCACTGAATAATGGTGATTAGTAAGTGTCAGAAATCTTTATTTACTGTTCTCTATAGAGTAAAATATAGACTGCTCATTATGTAAGGGGTTGTGAATGAGAGAATGGATTTCTAAAATCCTTGAAAATGAACCAGGGCATTTTAAGTTGTTTAAGTTGACATACCCTCCCCATGTAATTCCTATTTATCTGTTGCACTTAGCATGCTGGACTGTCAGGTGAACAAATTCATACAAGCCCACAGTAATTTATATTCTGTTTTACCGTTTGACTGTGTTGTCGTTATTGGTTTCATGGCATGCTATTTTTCCCCATTACCTTTGCTGCTGCAACAACATAATTTCCCCACAGGGATCAATAAATTTTCAGGTTATCTTCGTTTCAGATATACACGGGCATCGATGACAAAATGAGAATTCATTTGTCCGCCTGCCAAATAAACCCAACACTCACAGCTGCAGGCCAGCTCAGAATTTCCTCGCGGAGTCGAGCTTGGACTAAAACAAATCGTCTCCTCTACAGTCATGAGAAACTAACTTTTCTTCTTTTTTTGTATTTTTGACCTGTCAGCAGTGATGTAGTATGCTAATATTCTTATTTTACAGTGTATGATAAAAGTATAATAAACACTGTATGGGGTGATGATGGATGTTGCAGGTTGAGACTCTCAGACTGGTTTTTGCTTTTCCTCTATCTGGCAGCCTGTGATGGAGGGATTTTCTCTGCCCCTCTCTCTCTCTCTCTCTCTCTTACAACAAAGGTTCGATTGGCCATATTTTGCTCCTGTTTGCAGCTGAGGTATCGATCACCTTGATAGACCCTCCATTCCACCCTCGCAACTTCTCTCTCCTTCATTCTCCTCACTTCCCCTCGCCACCCTTTTCCAACCGTTTCTCTCTCAGACCTCACTGCTGCCACTTTGATAAGCATTGTGAATGGCGTGCCGTCATCGGTACAGACTAACTCTTGAATCAATAGGCGAGTGCAGACGCTCAGCAGCCTATTTACCACAGAGATGGTGGAGAATAGCAATGCTGAGAGATGAAAACCAAAGGAGGGAGAGAGACGGAGAGAGGTGGCAGGGATGGAGTAGGCGTCAAACGTTAAGAATGTTAGCTGTTATATATTTTTGTTAAGATGCTGCTTTTTTTTTTTTTTTTACACAATTACAATTATAAAGGATGTTCTACACACACTTAGAGACAAACAGTGAGAAAAAGAACGATAGGAAAGGACAGTGAACGGATTCTGGTTCTTCAGTAAGTCAAAAAAATTTGATTACGTAAATAAAAAAGTGAGGAATGTTAGATACCAATATGGATAAGAGGGCTTAGACACCCCTGTCCAGAGACTACTATGCACTTTGGGTATGTGGCTGTTTTTCATGCTCTGGTCTAAGACCCTTAAATACAACAACGGGAAATCTTAAACACACAGATTACAAATGGTATTTTAGGCAACAGTGTTCTTCCAACTTTGTGGAAGCAGTTTGGGGAAGGTGCTTGTCTGTTTAAACATGATAATGCCTCTGCACAAAGCCAGCTACATAACAACATGATTTTAACAAATTTGGTGTGGAAGAATGTAATTTGGCTGAACAGAACACTGACCTCATCCAGCACCTCTGGGAGCCAGGCCTCATCACCCAACATTCATGTTGGACCTCACTAATGCTTTTCTAGCTGAATGGCAGCAAATCCCTGCAGCCAGGTTCCAAAATCTTGGGGGAAGCCTTCCCAGAGGAGTGGAGGCTGTCATAGCAACACATTAATGCCCATGGTTTTGGAATGGGGTAAGCAAAACTGCAGTTCAAGCTGACACCTACATCGGCAATGACAAGATTGAGCAAGTGTTCTCTTTGTTTCAGAACTAAACGACCCAAACAACACGGAAATAAGGCAAAGGCATTAGCACTACCAAGTTCTGGAACATTTGGAGACACAGATCTGTGAGCACTTGCACCAAGACACGCCTTTTCAAGAGTCTCGCCGGGCCAGTAGCCTCATATGGCTGTGACACGTGGAGCCTTAAAATAATTGATGAACAAAAATTGATGGACATACAGACGGATTCTCGGTATACCACACAGTGAAAAGAAATCTAATGATTTCATCCTAAAAAAGACTGGCATGAAACCAATCCTTCTGGAAACATCTCAAGAATTGATGACACACGGGAACGCTTTGTGCTTGAAGGCAAAGTAGAAGGAAGACGCTCCCAAGGCACATGACACACTTTCTTTGAGTCTCCACATGTTATTGCTGCATAGTGTGAGGTGATTCTCATTCTGTTTTAATAAATATTGGGGGTGCAGACTCATATCATATTTTTGTGATCACCTGAAACTTTGATTCAAACTGTGAATAGTTTAAACTGTACTCACATCAGCGACTCCAGCCTCCAGGATGCTGAGCTTGGTTTCTTTCTCCAAAGCCACTTTCTGCTGAACTACAGTGAGAAAAAGAACACAGCGGAAACAACAATCATCAATGAACTGAAAAAAAAAAGATTTTTAAGAAAATAATCTCAGACATTTTTTCATCTTGTATCTATAGGAACAAACACAGGAAACTCAGCCCTGAAGCTGAATCAGGTCAGTTTAAAAGAAAACATTAATCTATACAGAACAAAATAGACAATCAAATTAAAATGAGTTGATAAGTTTAGCAGAAGGAAGAGCTTGTATCATGCACTTTAAACTGGATAAACTTTAAGATTTGATTAATTCCTGGTGCTCACAATAATGTGCAGTATGCAACCATGTGTGTACAGTAGCTACCATTAATCAATCGCACAAATTCCACCAAACCAGCATTTAAACTCTGCGCTTGACTGATCCACAGAAAATCAATGCTTCCTCCTTTCTCCTGAGCTTTAAACACACAATGTATACACAGCAGAACCAGAACCTCATTCATTCAAAGACCTCGGGAATGCAGTTTGTTTTAAATGTTTGTGAAAGATAAAGGTAACTGGGAAAAAAAAAAAAAAAAAAAAAAAAAACTGAATCTAAAATTTCCAACTGTCACTAGGTTCAGGAACATATCAGCAACATTTATTCATATTGTTATTATCATTAATGTTTTTTTTCAAGTCCTTCAAAATCAGAACAGAAATGGATTCATCAATACATTACTTCTTTTTACACTAATGACTCTGGAGGCTACAAGAGGCAGCAAGAGAAAGCAGTTTCAAGTTATGGAGATCTGAAGTAGCCAGTGGTTAAGTGTCCTTGTCCTCCTGATTGTGGGCACGAGATCCGCAAAGCATTCACTGTTTTGGATGGCAGGTAGGTATGAGGACTTCTACATTAACACCTGACAGCACTCTGTCAAAGTTTGCAATCATCTATGGAAATGTCTTGTCATGAAGTTTGAGTGAGACATTGAGTGAGATCCCTTCACTTTTCATCTGACACCGTGAAGTCACATTTTGAATTTGTCTAATGATATTCCCATCAGCCTCATCTGTACTTTGTATTCAGTGCTAATGGGCTAATCTCATCATGCTAACACGCCAAACTATGATGATGACCATAGAAAACACCTAACCATGCTAAAGCATCTGACCAGCATGGTAGTATTGTATTTGCGGGCCTGTTAGTATGGTGATGTTAGCATAGAAGTAGTGTGGTTGGAAAATTTCTATACATTTTTAAGCATTTGAAGATCTGATCTTCGCTAAACCCTCATGTCGTCAATCATGTAGAGAGCTAATAAAAACAAATGAAACGGTCACTGTTGTCATACTGACATTTAAGGTGTATTGATTGATTTCCGAACATCAATCATGCATTCAGTAACATGCAAGAAAACATTCCACCTTAGAAGTTGCCCGTAGCGGCCAGTTAGCCTTTGAGTTTGAGTTAATTAAATTGTTCATTAGTAAAGATGAAAAGACAGAAAACATCCTTTCATTCATTATTCACTCTTCTGACAGTTTCTTTGTCATGTTTCTTTGCAAATGCACAGATAAAGTCAGTCTGTTAAAGCTGGACTTGTGCAGTTTCCACAGTGCTGCTGGAAATGAAATCTAGTTTAGCTACGTTTTCATAGCGTAGCCTATTAGCTTAGCTTATGGTTACATAACCTTCAAAATGAGCAGCAGCTTAACTGTGCGTGCTCCGGAAATTAAATAGCACTACACCTGGATGTTAGCATTTAGCTCAAATCTAAAGTACAGTCTACCAGAGCAGCTAGCATGGCTGTATTTAATTTATGACTTGCTGTTACTATATGGATATTACAGTACAACTATCTTTTAAGCAAGACTGACCACATACACTGAAATTTGGATTTTAGCAAACAGGAGGTGAAAACAGTTTTATCTTTGAAGTTATCATGTGAGCACTACCCCAGACAAAAATGATCCAGGTGGTCAAACTGTACAGTTGTTAAATGGTCAAATTGGCTGGTGAGAGCGATTTCAACTCTTTTATGAAGCTTTGGTGAAAGGTCTGTAAGGAAGATATTTTCTCTTACATTTTCATCCACTGGTGAATTTCTGTTCTTTCTTCCCACTCTAACATTACTAAATCCACCTCACTTGTAGCCTAACTATTCTTTGAATTGAGGTACCACTGAACTTTGGATTTTAGCAGACAGGTGGAGGGTGAAGGTGGCGATGTCATTGAGGTTATCACGTGAGCGCTTCCCATACACAAATGTTTTCTAAATTATGCCAACAACACCTCCACAGGGCTCGACAATAAACACTGCCGTTCCAGAACCAAATGAGCTATTACTGTAGCATATCTTCACTTTATGAAATATGAATTTTTAACCTGACCTGCCGCCAGGCAAATATTACGACAAATTTCCACACAAATAGAATTAAACCCTGCATAGAGCTCACTTTTTTCATCACCTTAAAGGGGAAACAAATGGAGGGCTACAATTGAAATTCATGGTGTAGCACATATTAAAGCCAGAACAAAATGTTATGAAATTTAAAAAAAAAAAAAAAAAAGGCTACATAATTACATTCACTTTGCTTTGCATCTGAATACAACGGTGTGGAGACAGAGAGCGAGTCTCCTTTGTTGACACACCAGGCAGATGAAGGATATGCAAATTGCAAGCCTTGACTCTGCTGAAGTCCTAATTCACCAACAGCCTTATAATTAGTCTTTCACTCTGTCAGAGCTTAATTTGCCAGTCAATTTATGCTATTTGTTGTGTAGCCACAGACCTTGACCATTAAACACCATTGTTTAAATGACAATGTACAACGAGGAAAACCACATCATTCACGGACAGGCAAAAAAATACTCTATTTGAGGTGAAACCTCTCTAATACCTACAAAATAGAAACACTTAAGGTACAACTGTTAAAGATCCCCTATTTTAGTTGAAGTGTTGATCCATAAGAAGATATATTAATGGTTTTAAGAACCAAAAACTATCTTAGTGTAGTTTTACATCTCCTCTCTCAGGTTTTTCTCTTGACCTCCAGTAATAACAGGTTGGTTGTTTTCTGAGTGATTTAATAAAAATATAGCATATTTTTATGAAATTTACAGAGAAACCAAATCCTGCAAGGTTGGATGGTGGGTCTAGGTGGGCGGGGCTTGGGGCATGGCTGAGAGCGGTGACTGCTTTGTTGTGACATCACAAAGTTCCAGAAGTCCTGACGGGTCGTTTTAAGGCTCAGTTTCTCAATACAAGCTATGTGCATTTCATTAATATAGAACTTAGACCTGCTTTATAATCAAACAACACATCTAAATCTACCTTTATACAAATGGAACCTTTAATTCTATCTTGGTTATAGTGTGTTGCCTTTCAAGTGTGTTATGTGAAGGTAGGTATTCATTTAGTATGAAAAATAGACACATCTAGGTTGCTTACACTGTGATAAAGCCACAGTGAAGAGTTACTGTAGGGGCTGACTGGTCGATGTCCAGGCCCCAGACAGAGACATATGAACACCTTGCCGGCACCACTCGGCAATAGCCAAGTGGGCTGACATGTCTTAATAGTGCTGTCAGCAGGCAGCGACTGCAGGCTCAGCTCCCTTCAGTGAGAAATAGGGGCTGAAGTGGCTGAATTGGTTTGTCAGCGGCGCCTCTTCATAAGTTCGCTGAGCAGCATCTGAATGGACTTCTGGTTCCGTGTTACACGTGTCTGACGGAGGTGTCTGTTGCTTCTCGTTGGGTCTTCAGACTCCTCAGCGCACTGACTTCTCAGGTGTTCTCAGTCACTTGTCAAAGGTTTGGTTTGGAGAGGAGCACAGCAGCTGTAGGTGATTTTCGTTTGGAAAGTGCATTGATTGATTTACTTTTACTTGCAGTAACATGACTTTAACATGAAGTTCTGTAAAGGTTGGAGCCACATTACTCTTTATCACTTCACTTCTCGCTGGTTACTTGATGTTAACGACTCCTTACTAGATTACTACAACTCTTATTGCTTGAACAAAACAAACTGCATCCCTTGCACTGCCCTAAATTACAAGACAGTGACTCTTCATGGTGCTCAGAGAAGGAACAATTTACCTCATCTGCCATGATCCAAAGCTGTGTAAGGTTTAGTTGTGCGTCCAGGCAGAACAGGTGGCTGCTGGGTTATGTACTGGCTTCTTGCTGGTATTCCAATGGCTGATGTACCATTAGTTATAGCTAGTTTAGTGAATTTACTCATGGCGAATCTACTGATTCCACTGAAATCAAGAGATTTCCATCCAAAACATTGCTGTTCCACACGCTGGTGTGACGTCGACCTTTGTCTGGTCTCTAGAGCACAGTTGTTTCGCTCTGTGTGAGCTTTCAGTCCTAGATTTTCTGGTGAGGCAGTAATTACTGTAACAACACTGCAATGCAGTGTACCTGACAAACCTGCCAATAGACAAAATTTAGGCAGATCACATTCCACCACTGCTTGTGCTTCACCAGGGAAACGACCGCAATCACCAATCATTTCATCATTTTTTTTTTAAATGTGAAGAAGGTAGTTTTAAGCTGCTGTCATGCTTCCCATAAATACAGACCTTTTTTTTCTTTGTCAGACATCACATCTCGATCTGAAAAGCTTCATTTTGGGAGTGATGAGGAGGAGGAGGTGGATTGTTCAGAAGTTTGTTTTGCTGCCTCTGGAGCCATAAGCTCTGTCCTCTCAAAGTAAATAATACATTATTGCAGCTTTTCATTTTAAAGATAAAATCAGTTTTATTTGTTTCAATCTGATGCTGCCAATCCTTTTGTTAGTGCCATTTCTTTGAAACTGTGGCTATTGTCACTTACTCTGAATGAACGCTGTAGTGGTGCCAATGCATTGATTTCCCCAAAATTTAAAGGATTAATCAGGTTCAAATGAAACACAGGCAGAGATGGTAAACAACGGGCAACTTTGGGACCGAACTCAGTGAAACAACTAAAGACTTTGTTGCCTAAAGTGCCTTTGGTAATTGGTGAGGCAAAACCTATTTGAGTTGCATCTGCAGGAAAGCCT